GGTCTGTGGATCCAGCCCTCTGCCACTGGGTCTGTGGATCCAGCCCTCTGCCACTGGGTCTGTGGATCCAGCCCTCTGCTGAGTGGGTCTGTGGATCCAGTCCTCTGCTGAGTGTGTCTGTGGATATAGCCCTCTGCCGGTGGGCCTTGGGGTGGTTTCTGCCTTGGGGCTATTGTACAAGGTACTGCTATGATGAAAAATGTATTCTTCTGGGTATATATCTGGGATTGGGATTGGTGGGTCCTGTGAGCATAAGTTTTGAGCACTAGTTTAGCAGAAAGCTTCAGTTTACACTGGTAGCCCTAAATCCATTTTGAGTCTCCACAAAGGTTCACCCTTCATCAAATTCTTTCTTACCATGAACTGGATTTGTGAATAGCTTTGCCCTTAGGCAAGGCACATTGTGTTTGGAAGTGGATTGCTACCTCTCCCCTAGGCAGCCCAGCACCAAGGGACCCTGGCTGGCTGGATGGGGCCAAGCTTCCCCTTCAGGGATTTACCTGGATGTGTCTTATAGTATTTAAGGTACTGGGGTCCACAGAATCAGGAGCTGTGCCCTGATTGCCCTCTTGCCTAGAGAGCCCGGAACCAGTCTTCTTAACCTTTCTGTCTGCAGTGGTGTAAGTATCCCATGCAGAGTCTCTTTCTTGATTTTGTGACCGAGTCTCAGTGAACCTTTGGACAGTCTGCTGGCCTCCCTCCCCCAGACGTCATGTTTATTTTTTTATCCTGTTTAAGACTGAATCTGCCTCCATACCTTATATTTGAATTTGGGGTCTCTTTTCTTTATTAGAAGGAGCTCTGGTAGTGTCTTAGGTTCTGTGGTGGGCAGTTCGAGCCCCGAGCCACTCTGTGGGAGAAAGATGAGGCTTTTTGCTCCTATAAAGATTACAGACTTAGAAACCCACAGGAGTAGTTCTGTCCTGTCCTACAGTAGGGTTCACTATGAGTCAGAATCCACTCAGTGGCAGTGAGTTTGGTTGTTTTGAGTTTCTCACCCAATACAATCATGTGGTAAAAACAATGTTATTTGTGATTGGAAACCATTCTTTTACAAAATAAGGTGATCAAGCAAGCTAAGATACGGAAGGAATGTTTCCACGGAAGGAACATTCAGACAATAAGAGATATCCAGCATTGTAATAGAAAGAGTAATTGTGCCTTGCAGGATTCTCACTAGGTAAATTGGCCATATAGGTTGCTCTCTATGTGCCCCTCCCCCATCTCTAATCCACTAGGAAATTGAGAGCCACTTCACGTACAAGTTAACACTCGCCCTGACTTGGGTGACTTTCAGAGAACAGTACAACATCCTTTCGTGTACTCATACCTTTTCCTGAATTAAGTGCACCATGTGATTGGAAAGGAGCCCTGGTGCCTGGGTGGTTACAGTTGGGTGCTATCCCAAAGGTCAGCAGTCTAAACCCACCAGCTGCTCCTCAGGAGTAAAGATGAGGCTTTCTACTCCAGAAAGATTCACAGCCTCAGAAACCCAGAAGAACAAACCTCTGCCCTGTATGGTTGCGCCGAGTTGGAATGGACTCAATGGCTGTGAGTGTGCTTGGGTGTGTGACTAGTAGCCCTGGTGGTGCTGTGGGTTAAGCACTGGACTGTTAACTGTACTTTCAAACCCACCAGCCACTCCGAAGGAAAAAGATAAGGCTGGCTGTTCCTGTAAAGCAGCGGTTCTCAACCTGTGGATCGGGATCCCTTTTAGAGTTGAACGACCCTTTCACAGGGCTCGCCCGATTCATAACAGTAGCAAAATGACAGTGATGAAGTAGCAACAAAAATAATTTTATGGTTGGGGGGTCACCAGCACATAAAGAACTGTACTAAAGGGCTGTGGCATTAGGAAGGATGAGAACCACTGTTGTAAAGGTTTAGCGTGCTGGAACTCCTAGGTAGCACTTCTACTCTGTCCTGTAGGACAGCTTATGAATTGGAATTTGGCTCCATGGCAGTGGTGTGTGTGTGTTTTCATTCTTCTACTTTTCATCTATGATTAGTGATGAAGTTAGAGAGCGAGAATTAAAAGGGGAATACTCTAGCCAGGGTATCTCACCTAAGTTGTACCTTGGTTAGATCACTAGAGCCAGTGTCTGGCTTTCAGCTTTTCAGGATGAGAGGCTTGATTTTGTCAGCATATCCAGAAAGCCTCAATCTCCTAATGACCTATAGGAACCAAACTCACAAAAGAGTTGTGTATGAGTATACTGATGGGCAGAGAGAAAACTAAACTCCAAGTACCCCCCTCCCCCAACTGGTTCTAGGTCATGTGGGAGGGGGCCCATGGGCGGATTTGGCTCTGACTTTCCTCCCCCTTTCTTAGGGTCTATGGCAGGTCACTTCTTTCTCCAAACAACCCAACTAGATCCATTTGACTAGCTTTCAGCTTTCTTTTGTAGCAAAAAGCCCTG